GAAAGGCACAGAAACAGCAGTAACATGCAAAAATCAGCAGCAGCAGCAGCAGCAGCAGCAGCATGCAACCAGCAGCAGCAGCAGCAGCAGCAGCAGCAGTTGCTGCTGCTCCTTCAGTGGGCAGACCTTCGTCTCTGCCGCTGCGCTGGATTTCTTTGGCTTCGCCGTCGCCGAGAGAAAGGCAAAAGGCAGCGGAGCCGCGGGACCTCTGCAGCAGCAGCAGCAGCAGCAGCAACAGCAGCAGCGTAGATGGGGCGGAGGCAGCAGCAGAAGCGTCAAGCGCAAAATATCTCTTTTTCTTTCTAAAAAAAAGAAAAAGAGATATTTTGAAAATGAATAAAAAGAATAAAACCCTTAAAGAAGATATGCATTAGAGGGTGTGCAGCAGCAAAAGCAGCAGCAGACAAACTTGGCCTAGCGAGGAGCCAGCGCACAAAACGCTGCCGCAGCAGCGACAGCAGCAGCAGCTGCTGCTGTTGCTGCTGCTGCTGCAGCAGCCAAATTCCACGCGAGTCCTTTTGTGTCCGCCTTACACGTGAAAGGGAAAGCCGCTGCTGCTCCTCTTGCTGCTGCTGTTGCTGCTGCTGCACGCTGCTGGGAACGCGTATAATGCCCGCGAACTTCGAAGCCGTGGCTCTCCCTCTCTGCTGCTGCTGCTGCTGCTGCTGCTGCTCATACATCCACGGGGGACTAAGTGCAAGGGGCCGGCTGAGGCTGACGCCTGCAGCAGAGCCAAACGCTCAAGGCCTCGGCGTGTTCATTATGTAGCAGCAGCAGCAGCAGCAGCAGCAGCAGCAGCAGAAGCAGTAGCAACGGCAGAAGCAGCAGTGGCAGCAGAAGCAGCAGCAGTTACAACTGCAGCAAAAAAAAATAGTGTCAACAGCAGCAGCAATGGCAACAGCAGATGCCTCTTCAGCAGCATAGCCAGAAGCCGCCGCCGATGCAGCAGCAGCAGCAGCAACAGCAACAGCGGCAACAACAGCAGCAGGAACAGCAGCAGCAATAGCAGCAGCAGCAGCAAGAGCAGCAGCAGCAACAGCAAAATGAAACGGACACAGTTTGTCGTCGTTGGAGACAGAGAAGAAGCTGCCGATGGGCAGCAGACGACAGCCAAATCCGCAGTCCAGAACACAGCAAAACTGAACACCTGAATAGCAGCAGCAGCAGCAAAAGCAGCAGCAGCAGCAGCAACAGCAGCAGCAGCAGAAGCACTGTTGGCGGAGAACTATCAGAACCTGCTGCTGCCGCCACTGCAGCTGTCAAAGAGTCCTCAACTCGCCCGATAAGCAGCTCTCGTTGCAGCAGCAGCAGCAGCAACGGCGTTGGCAGCAGTAGCACTAGCAGCAGCAGCAGTAGCAAGAGTAGCACTAGCAACAGCAGCGTTAGCATCAGCACCAACAGTAGCAGCAGCAATAGCAGCAGCAGCAACAGCAGCAGCGACAAAAGCAGCAGCTGCTGCAGCAGCAGCTGAAGCAGCAAAAGCAGCAACAACAGCAACAGCAGTAACAGCAGCAGCACCAGCCAAAGCAACAACAGCAACAGCAGCAACAGCAACAGCAGCAGCAGCAGCCACAGCAGCAGCCACAGCAACAGCAGCAACAACAGCAACAGCAGCCACAGCACCAGCAGCAGCAGCTGCTGCTGCTGTTGCTGCACCAGCAGCCACAGCACCAGCAGCAATAGCAGTAGCGGCAACAGCAGCAGAAGCAGCAGCAGCAGCAGCAACAGCAGAGACTGGCCTTCTGGCAAGGAATTGATGAGGGAACGGAGAGCAGCAGAAGAGATAAACCGAACTCCTTGCCAATCTTTGAAGTCGGAAGGCAGCAGCGCCATGATGTGTGGCTGCAGCAGCACAGCAGCAGCAGCAGCAGCAGCAAACAGCAGCGCCGCAGCAGCAGCAAACAGCAGAAGCGCAGTAGCAGCTCTTGCAGCAGCAGGCCGCGGCACACCAGCTGCAGCAGCACCCTAGCACCAAGCAGCGAGGCGCCGGCAACAGCAGCAGCAGCAGCAACGGCAGCAGCAGCAGCAACAGCAGCAGCAGCAGCAACAGCAGCAGCAGCAGCAATAGCAGCAGCAGCAGCAACAGCAGCAGCAGCAAATAGGAAAGTTAGGGAGCAGCCATGGGGTGTACTTACAGTGCAGGGGCCCTCCAGCTGCTCAGCAGCAACCAAGCAGCTGCTGCAGCCGGAAAAGAACAGCAGCAGCACATCTCCTGCTGCTGCGTCCTCCACCAGCCACTGCAGTCCCCGCTGCAGCCACAGCAGCAGCAAACAGACTGGCGCATTCGTTTCACAGCTGCACCAGCAGCAGCAGCAGCAGCAGTAGTAGCAGCAGCAGCAGCAGTAGCAGTAGCAGTAGCAGTAGCAGTAGCAGCAGCAGCCGTAGCAGTAGCAGTAGCAGCAGCAGCAGCAGCTGCTGCTGCTGCTGTAGAAAGAACAGTTTTGAGCAAAGCAGCCAACTCTCGAATGGGTTGCATGGATTTACAACGAGCTGCAGCCGCAAACTTGCTATAAAAACAGCAGCAGCAGCAGCAGCAGCTTGTCTCACTTGAAGCAGCAGCAGCAGCAACAGCAGCTCACCATAATGTTTTCGTAGGTCGGAGGATGAGAAGAGACTGCGTAGTTACGGATAAGGTGGGGTTCAGCATCACATAGGGTCCTGTATTAGCAGCAGCAGCAGCAGCAGCAGCAGCAGCAGCAGGAGGATTAGCAGCAGCAGCAGCAGCAACCCTAGCAACCCTAGCGGCAGCAGAGTGAGGTAAGAGGCTTCCGGCAAGTCTGCTGTTCGTCTTGCTGCTGCGCCTGCACGATGGAACGCTTTCTACAGTTGCTGCTGCCGCTGCTGCTCTTGACGTCATTGCTGCTGCTATTCTGTGCTGCTGCTACTGCTGCTGCTGCTTCTGCTGCTGCTGGTGCTGCTGCTGACCGGACTTCTGTAAAGCCAAGATGCTCAGAGGCAATCGAAGCCCAACGCCGTGCGTCTGCTGCAGCTCCCTCTGAGGCAGCACACAAGTGCAGAGCAGCTGCAGCAGCGGCAGCAGTTGTAGCAGCAGCAGCAGTTGCAGCAGCAGCAGCATTTGTAACTGCTGCTGCCGCAGCAGCTGTGGCACGAAAGCTGCAGCAGAAGCCTTAGCTGCCGCACACGGCCAAATGCCGTACCACTCACTGCAGCTACTGACGGCAGCAACTACAGCAGCAGCAGCAACTGCAGCAGCAGCAGTATTTGCGGCAGCTGCTGCTGCAGCTGCAGCAGCAACTGCAGCAGCTGCGGCTGCAGCAGCAGCTTACTAAGCGTGCAGAATGTTCCCTCGTAAAGACACCCTATACACAACGCCCTTCTGCGCTGCCCCCGCGGCACTGTGGGCCCCCCTCTGCTGCTGCTGCTGCTGCTGCTGCTTTTGCTGCTTCTGAAGGATGTTTGGAGGCCCCTAGCTGCTGCTGCACCTGGCAGCAAAGCGCCAGAGGCAGCAGACAAATGCGAAGTGCTCGGGGCCCCTGAAGGGGTCCCCAGGCGGGCCTCAAGAGGGGCCCCAATAGGGGCCCCCAGAGGGGCCCCCACAGGGGCCCCCACAGGGCACCCCACGGGGGCCCCCAAGGGGGCCCCCACAGGGGCCCCCAAAGGGGCCCCCAAGGGGGGCCCCAAGAAACAGTAACGAGGGGCCCTCTGTGAGGCCTCTTGCTGCTGCGTTGAGGGGAATACTCGCCAATGGTTTTGCGTGGGTTGCGGCGGCTGCTGCTGCTGCTGTCCCTGCTGCTGCCGCTGCTGCTGACTGAAATGTCGCTGCTGCTGTTGCTGCTGCTGCTGAAGCAGCTGGTGCACGTACAGCTGAAAGGGCCCCGGGTGCTGCAGCGGCGCCACTGGGGCCCCGAGCATCCGTGGTGAGTTTGCTGCTGCAGCAAAGAGAGAAGGCGCCTGCAGTTGCTGCTGCTGCTGCTGCTGCTGCTGTTGCTGCTGTTGCTGTACTGCGGCTGCCGTCCATTTTGCTGCCACTGCCTCCCAGCCAGTGAAGCTGTTGTGGTCCAGTTGTTGATGTGCCTCTGGTGCCTCTGCTGTTGCTGCTGCAACTTCAGCTGCTGCTGCTTTTTCAGCTGCCACTGCTGCTGCTGCTGCTGCTGCTGCGCCTGATACCGCTTCTTTGACTTTATTTTCTCCAAATATGTCGCAGCCGTTAAGAAACTGTGTTGTGCTGATTTGCTGCGGCTTTGCTGCAGGTGCTGCTGCTGCTGCTGTGGTTGTGCGCTGCTGCAGCTGCTGCAGCAAGTGACCAGAGCAGCCATTGGTGATGTCAGATGGCGTAAGTTCCTGCTGCTGCTGCTGCTGCTGTTCCGCTGCGGCCGCTACAGCAGCAGCGCAGTAAGAGGCATTCCACAGAGCCTCTTCTGGTGCTGCTAAACGTTTCCAGCTGCTTTTGCTGCTGCTGGTGCTGCTGCTGCTGCAGTCCCAGCAAAAGTCTTTTACGCTGTTTTGCGTCGGTGGAGGTCGCGGCTTCCCATTGTGTCCCTCTGCTGCTGCTGCTGCTGCAGCAGCAGCAGCTGCTGCGGCTGCTGCAGTGTTTGAAATTTTGGAGCATTTCCCATTTGATAAGGCAGAGGCCTCCTCATCCAAGGGGCCCAACAGGCCAAAATTTGCGCTGCCTCTTTGTGCGACGCGAGATGGAGGTGCTGCTGCTGCTGCTGCTGCTGCTGCTGCTGCCTTTGCTGCTGTAGGGGAACCCAAAGAAAGACTGGAAGGAAAAAATTCTCCTACAGCATTTTCTTTAGGGTCATAGCAGCAGCAGTTGAGAGCATTCGCGTCGGCAGTTTTCCGTAGCATATGCTGCTGCTGCTGCTGCTGTTGCTGCTGCTGTTGCTGCTGCGGCTGCTGCTGCGGCTGCTGCTGCCGTTTCTCCGCTATCGCTGGTTGCTTTTCAGTCCGTGTCGTGCCTAGTTTTGCTGCAGCTTCTGCAGCTCTGCTTTTTAACTCGTGTTTTGCTCCTGCAGTTGCTGCTGCAGTTGCTGCTGCAGTTGCTGCTGCAGTTGCTGCTGCAGTTGCTGCTGTTGGCAGCAGCATCGCTTTGCCAGCTCTGGGGGCCCCCCTTTCTGCAGGGCGACTCTCTCTGTGTGGGGCCCCACAGGGGGGCCCCCAGGTACTTTTATTAAAGTTTTCACTTGCTGTTAGGTGTCTAGACACCCTAAAGTCCTCACTTAGCTTTGCTGCCATTCTGCTGTTGTTGCTGCTGCTGCTGCGGCTGGTGCTGTTGCGGTTTCTGGTACCGTTGCTGCTGCTTTCGCTGCTGTGGCTGTGTCTGCGTCTGCTGCTGCTGCTGCTGCTGCTGCCGCTGCCGCTATGCCATCTTAGGCTGGAGGCAGTCTGATGTGGTATTGGCTCTGTAGCAGCAGTAGCTGGTGCTGCTGCTACAGCTGCTGCTGCTGACGGCAGCGGCAGCGCAGCAGCTGCTGCACCAGAAGCAGCATCGTTTTCTGACACAGCAAAAGGCACTAGCAAGCCGGGTTCCTGCCGGCTGCTGCTGGCGTTGCGGCTGCCGCTGCTGTCGTTGCTGCTGCTGCTGCTGCTGCTGCTGCTCTTGCTGCTACTGCTTCTCTTGCTGCTGTTGCAGTTTCTGCTGCCCTTGCCTGAATCAAGATCATGCTTTTGGCATGAGGAGCCACGTCGATGATTAATAGAGTGGCTGCTGCTTCTGCTGCTTCTGCTGCTCCTGCTGCTTCTGCTGCTCCTGCTGCTGCTGTCAATGCTGCTGCATCTGTTGCCGTTGTCCGCAGCTCCTGTGGAGGTTCTGCTGCTGCTGGGCAGCGCTGAAAAGACACAAACCCTCGATGTTTTATACCCTTGCTGCTTGAGGAGCAGCAGCTGCAGCAGCAGCCGCAGCAGCAGCTGCACCAGTCCCAATAGCAGCAGCCACAGCAGCAGCAGCAGCAGCAACGAAGACAGCAGCAGCAGCAGCAACGAAGACAGCAGCAGCACCGACAGCAGCAACGACAGCGGCAAAAGCAGCAGCAGCGTCGGCAATAGAAGCGCCGCTGCAGCAGCAGAACGGATGCAGTGGCAGCAGGCACATGACAAAAAAGTGCTGCAGCAAAAAGCCGTCACCGAAGCAGCAAAGCAACAGCAAAGCAGCAGCAAAGCAGCAGCAAACAGCAGCACAGCAGCAGCAGCGCAGAAGCGTGACTCTAATTTGTCCTACTTTTAGAGGCAGCTAATCCAGTTTGCATTTTGCTGGGCTCATTCTTTTCCTGTCCTGTGTGCTTCGCGTGCTGCTGCGGTTGCTGCTGCTGTTCCTGCTGCTGCTGCAACTGTTGCTGCTGCCGCTGCTGTTGCTCGTCGGTTTGCAAGTGTTGCAGCTTCTGTTGTTTTGGGTGGCCCCGCCGCTGCTGCAGCAGCCGCTGCAGCGGCAGCTGCTGCTGCTTCTGCAGCAGCTGCTGCTTCTGCGGCCGCTTCAAGGCCCTTTCACCTGTTCCCTGCAAACGCATTAGAAACGCCAAGCCTCTATTGGTAGAAGCTGCTGCTGCAGCTGCAGCTGGTGCTGCAGCAGCTGCTGCTCCAGCTGTCGCTGCAGCTGCAGCTGCTGCTGCTGCTGCTGGCTTAGTCCAGCTCCCTCCCTCGGTCTCTGGTGGCACGGCCAACGGATCTGTTCCTTTTGGAGGCTTCAGTATCATAGTTGCTGCTGCTGTCACTGCTGCAGCAGCAGCAGCTGCTGCTGCTGCTGCTACGGTCTCGCTGCCGTCTCGCCTTCTGCAGAGGCAGAAAGTGGCCCAGCTTCGCTTCAATGCCCCCTCATTCGTTTCTCCTGCAGCAGCAGCAGGGGCGGAAGCAGCAGCAGCAGCAGCGGCGAAAGAAGCAGCAGCAGCAGCAGCCGCTTCTGGTGTCTGCAGCAGCAGCTGTATCTCACTGCATTCTTTCCCCTGCTTGGGAGCCCATAGGGGCCCCTTTCAAGAGCCCCTGGGCCTCTAAAGAAGAATAAAAGACAGCCAAAGGGCCCTTGTGTTGTTTATAAGTTTGTTAATTGTCTTTAAAGGCTGCATGCGGCTGCAGCAGGAAGAGGCGGTCCCGTTGGTCCCCCGAGGAAGGTCACCTGCAGTGGCAGCGGGGGTTCTGCGGTGTCTGTACACTCGGAACTGTTCTTAAATGGATTTACTGATTTAAATTGCAACTCTTTTCGCCATTTAATTCCCTGAAAAGAGTCTTAAGCGGGGTAAAGCTGCGGCGCAGCGCAGCCCAGTGCACACAGAAGGGGCTGACCGGCAGCGCCGTCGGCTGCAGCGGCCCCACATGCTCTGGCTGTGAGCCATTCGGCGCTGCGTCCCACGAATAAACAATTAATTTAGTGTTTTGGATTTAGTTTGAATATTCAAAAACATTTGGAAAAAGAGGAGATGAGGCGGAACCTGGTTATCCCGCTGGAGCGGCTCGGGGCTCCACCGCTAGCCTGAACTGCCATAGACACCCACTGCGCAGTTTGCTGCAGCTAAGCAGCAACTTAAGAGCTTTTTTGAACTCCTAATGAGTAGTTTGCTCTTTTTGTAATGTTTGAGACTCAAGTGTGCACGAATTTTCGTGCGGACATGTGGGCTTGCCGGCCTCTTAGCCTGCACGGCCTGACTTTGAAGCTCTTTAGAGCTTAGTAGATTCTGCAACTTTAAGCTAACTCGCTTTACTAAATACTTTTTTCTTTTTCTTTTTTAAACTTAATCTCCTGTGGAGAAAGGCAAGCTAGTGGTGGCTTCTGAAAGCTCAATTGCCGGCCTTTAGGCATTTGTTCTCTGGCAGCTTCGACAGATTTGTTCTGTGAAGCATAAAAGATCAATAACTTCCGGAAAAACAAAACTGACCACTGGAGATCACTGTAGACCACTGGACACCACTGGACACCGGCTTAAGGGCGGTAGTTGTGCGTCTCAGCTCTGCAACCCAGCAGGCTCACTAACCCAGGCCGACAGCTGGAGGTTTTGCTGCATTTTATGAATCAGAAGCAGCAGAGAAATAGCTCTTTTTGGGTTTTTCCAGATATATCCCTCTGTATGTCTTTTGCTTTATTCTCCCGGATTGGAGATTCTCCCAAAGGTCTCAAGAAATCGGACTTGGTGAACTCAGACTTTTTTTTCCAGCTGCCGATTTTCCCGTGTCTTGTGCCTCTCCGCTGAGAAGCACTTTGAAATATCCTTTTTAATTTTGAATTTCAGCCCCAGAAACTCCAGCAAAATGCTGTTTGCCGTGTCTCAAATGTGTAGTTCCTTTTTAATTCCTGCCTAATTCGTATTAGCACAGGAGCCCCCAGCAACTCTTGGGAAAATTCAGATAGAATTAGCTGCACTGCTCAGTTTCAGGCTTTCTAAGTTTTGGGAAGTTAACTATTGGCTGCGGGAAAGTACTCCCACAGTTAGGCGCTCCCATAGCTGCCCTCACTGCGCTGTCTGCACTCAAAGTTTCTTGTAGTGCAGCAAGCCTGTCTGAGTTTCCTAAGAAGCTGCTTGTGGATTTAAAGGCATAATTGGGAAAAGAAAGCCACTCGAGACTGCTCTTCCTCTCCCTAGATTTTCGATATTTTTCCTGGAGTTTCTGCATCCCATGCCAGTTCATTTTGCCTCGTTGGTGCAAGTGATTTTCAGTTGCCTTCTGAGCTTCTCGAGTGCCGCTGAACCGTCAACTCTTCTGAATATCTCCACTGTTTTTTCTTTTCTTTTCCACCATTCTTACCGGGCCATGCCATTATAGTGGCCCTGACTTCTAACTCATTCACTGGGGTTATGGTTAATCACCAATAGAAGTTTCAAGGCTCTCCCCCGGTCACCCTTGTTCAAAAGCTCTTCCTTGTTAGCCTGCATGTTCAAGAGCTTTTTCTTCCTAGTCTGCATGTTCAAAAGCTCTTCTTTGTCAGCCCACATGTTCAAAAGCTCTTTCTTGTTAGGCCAGCTTAGCCCACATGTTTAAAAACTCTTCCGCGTTAGCCCGCGCGCACAAACGCTTGGCACTTCACAGTGCAAAAACCCAGCAGCCTTTCTACATAGAAAGCCCTCCGTAAGAAAGCAGGAGTATTTGAAAGCCGAATCGGGAAAATCGTTTAAAATTTTATCCCAAAATTCAGTATTTTCGGCATGGGGAATCAGCTCTCCAGGTCTTCTGATGCCCGGTTGAATGGCCAGCGTCTGAAGGCTGGGAAAGCACCACATGAAGAGTTCTCCTGGGTATAGCCTAAGAAATTTGTTTAAGTAAATGTCCAGAGGAAATCTTAAGGCAAGCTTTTTGGGACTGCGTCATAGTTCCCAATGCCCCGTAGGAATGAAAAGTTTGCCGGCCTAGGGGCCCACTGAGTAGTCATTCCTTGGTGTTCTTCATTCCTTTTATGAATTATTCCGCCAAAATAAAAGTTTTTCTTCAAAATCAAGTTATTTTCCTCTTGGAGAGCTCAGGTTGCTCACTCTATGCCATCGTGTGCTACAGTTTTTACTTGCCACCGTGGGAGCTCTGGAGGATATACTGCGTTAGAAAGGCCTTTCCAGAAGCTTCTTGAGACCTAATTGTATTAAGGATAGCCCAATTATTCCAAAAGTTGACATTGTATCGAAGCTAGAAGATTTAAAAACTCAAAAACAAACTTGTCCCGTGTTGCCTTCGCCGCCTCAGGGCTGGCGCGGCCACTTTTGCATGATCTTTCTCACAGCATGCAGGTGAAGGGAAACTCCTAATTAAATAACTGCATTGGGTGAAGTATTTCCTTTTCTCAATATTTTTAGGTAAAAAAGTTCCGTTAGAGCGCAACAGTCTGCAAAATCTCCGAAGTATTCGCCGAACAAGTATTTCTATTCACAGAGGCGACCAATGTAGCTCATCACCAGAATACTTTGTCTTTGAATGGCCTAATTGCCTGCCTGCTTGTTAAAATTATTTTTAGTCAGGTGGGATTTTTTTTTAGTGGCGACAAATGCACATTCAATCCTTATTGCTGAAAACTGAGTGAGAGACCGCAAGCAAAATATACCTGCAAAGCTGTCAGTGAAGTGCATTGAGCAGCTAGACACAGAACTGTGAAACTTAATTGAAAATATCTTAGCCCAACTGTTATCTTGTTTCCCCCTGCTCTATGTAGCTGAGTCTGTATCCTCTCAATCAGCAAAAGGCGGACGGCTGTTGTGTCTCCTTTGTCTCACTGCTTCTCTTCCCCTCATTATGAACCAAATCTTTCAGTACTTTTCCTGCTAGTGTTCAAAAGTGAAGCACTTTTTGCATGTTCTCTTCTTTCTTTAACTTTCACTGCATACCGCATGGCCTGTCAAGTTCACACTGACCATAGTTTGTTACTTCTGTGACGAAGCCAATATCGACTTGAAGAAGCAACGTCACAGCAGCTCACAAAATCTTCCACTCAATTTGCACACTGCTATATTCTAAGCTAGCAGTGTAGCGAAAGGCTACCACAGTAACAGTGCAGCCCGCGTGACTTCACAATGTTCTAAAAGTCTTACGAAGGGTCTTACGACTGAGTGCTTGTTTATTAAGCAGCAAGTGAGCCATAGTGTTTCACGCATTAACACTACAGACTAGTTGATTCGCATTTATTCAGAGGTGCAAGCAGAAGCCTCTCCAGCCAATGTAATAGGAAAGAAAATGCAATGCGAGAAGGCAGTTAGAAATGGCAGACTCCAGACAGCTCATTCACGAAGAGCATGCCAGTGCAGAGCAAGCTGAAAACGAAGAAGAAAGCTTCTCAAAATGAGTCAATGCATTCAAAAGAAGCTCATGGCAAAAGGGTTCCGTCAAACTCGACACCTCAAACTTTATACACTTGATGACTGCAAACTTTTGAGCCACTAAATGCGATTCTATTTTCTAAGCCCTTGCCTGGCGCCTTAGGTGGCGCTAGGCAAGGACTCTCTACACGTTTTTATTCTAAAGAAGCCCTGCCTGCTGAACGAAACAAAAAATTCATGAAGTTCAGTAATTCGTGATTAGCCGAAATAGTGTGGAGCACTGATACTTATGAGTTTTGATTGAAATAGGCCAGCAAGCCAGCTGCCGGAGGTCATGATAAGTGTTATTTTTGCTTTCTAGAGTTCCATTCTAGCCGGTAGAACCAGCTGGCGTTTAGTATGCTTAGAAAATTTTTCATGTTTCACTACGTGGCTGCTATTGCTCCCCAAAAGGACCGACAGTATGAACGCAGAGGACATCAGGTCTTTATCTAGTCTATTTATATTCTCAAGTTCGTAGGGGCTGCCCTTTTCACCTCGCGAAGAGCTCTTAACGATACTGGCAGCAACAACCCCAGCAGCAACAACAATAATAGTATATGCAGGAGCAGCAGCGGAAGCCGATTCTGCATTGTGGCTTTGCTCAGTAATTATCTAGGGCCTCCGGTTCATCAAGTGAAACTACGGCATGAAGTTTTAGAGCTTCACTTTGAAGAGTTCTGTGATGCTACAATAAAAAGTGCCCCAGTGCTTCTACCGCAGTTTAAGCCTTGAGGCAGCGCAGTCACATTTTGTCCCGTGCATGTAGGCTCTTCCTAATGTTGCAAAAGCGATTTGTGAGTAACAGTTCTTTTAATTCTGTTAGCTTGTGTGTGCGTGAGTTCGTGGGCCATCTGAGCTGGAATGTACTAAAGCAGTTTAAGCATCATTTTAAAATTGGATCATCTGCAGTGTTAATTACATTTAAGCAG